AGATTCTAAAATCACCCTGACTTAAATGAAAGGTAAACTGTGCCTTGGTTTTGGTTCTTCACACCCATCTCACACAAGAATCAGCTGTATACCTGTTAGAAATATTTTTAAAGTGAACTGGGTGGTCAGTTAAATAGAAGGGAATACTGCCCTACACTGTGCTCTTGCTCTCTAGTTTATTCTCCTCCGGGAGGGTGCGTTGCTCGTGGGGGTCACCCCATCTCTGAATCCAGGATGGGTGGAGGTGGGGGCCTCCAGGAGAGGCACAAAGCTCTAAAAGCCTTGCAACTGGAATGCATTGGTCCTTCCTCCCTCCCTTCCACCCCTTCTTCCTTCTTTCTTTCCCTCACTCCTTTCCACCTTTCTTTTCTTCCTCCCTGTCTACGACAGCCCCTTTTGGTAGATTAGTGTAGTTAACCTCGCTCTGGCCAAGCCCAAGAAGGGTTAATGGAGATCGGCTCCTGACAGCCCTCCAGGCCAGCTAAGCCTGCGAGCCTCCACCTCCATCGCAGGCATCAGAGGACCACGGGAGAAGGAATCCAAGGCACTGACCGCCTCACACCTGAACACATCCTTCCGGCCCACTGAGAGTCCTACTTTCAAAAAAAAAAAAATTTTTTTTTTCCTCTTTTGGAAAACGGTTCATTGCCTGTGCAGCTAAATTTCCTGTTGCATCGAAGAGCTGAGCTGGGCAGCCTGAACTGACTTTCCCCAAGCTGCCAAGAAAACTGAGCAAGAGGGTGGGTGGGGAGGGCGACCCTCCTCACACGCATGTATACATACATCAGTGTGTACAAGAAGCTATCGGTTTCCTCAAGAAAAGCAGATTTCTAGGGAAAGGGCAGGAGAGGTAAAGGGAAGAAGAAATCGGAAAGGATTTTGCTCGGTCCTCACCTTCCACCTTCTCTTTTCCCCAGAAATCAGTGCCTACTTGATTATTTGCAGCTGTTTGGAAGCTCAAGGTTTATTCACAGTAGCAAGGGAGACTCGAGCTTCCAGAAGCGAAAAGCCCTTCTCGCGCCAGGACGTTCCTGCCCCACTTGGGGGGAGGTATTTCCCTCCCTTCCAGCAGGTCGCCAGCCCTCCACCGCGGGCTCAAAGCCTTACGACCCTCGGTGCCAAACGTGTTTACACCCCAGCCCTGAGGCTCCCGGCACCGAGGCCCGGGGCCCGGGCAGGGTCCACCGCCGGGGTGTGGCCCTGGCAGCCCCAAAGCCAATTTCCCGCCTGGGAGAGGTCCTGCGAGCTCCCTGGAGCTGTCACCTTCCCTGCTGCTGTCCCCCGTGACCTCACGCCTCCTGCCACCTGCCCACACCCCGCAAGCCTGGAGTCCACTGGCCAAGCAGTCCCCAGCGGCTCCGCCACGCGGCAAGCGCCCTGGACACGGGCTGGGTGGGTGGGTCATCCGTGGGGCGCTCTTGGGATACGATCAAGGAGAGGCCAGGCATAGGCTGACCACGGAGAAAATTCATGAAGCGCTGGGTTCTGGCTGGAAGAAGCCCCCAGATGGCAGAGGGAGAGCGAGCGCTTTAGGCCGCCTGGAGAGGTCGCGGGTGGGAAACGCGCCCGCGTCCCC